TACATGGTATTCGTTTCCTATATTCTTTTGTGATAAAAAATAGATGTTATAAACGTATCAGGCGTAATTCACCATCATTGATGGGCTATACCTTGTACGTTTATAACATTATTTGTTCCTAAAATTGAGCACTGTTTCTTCCATTTTCTAACATTTACCTATTTTTTTTTTATGTATGTGTGTAAGAAACGATAGATACCCCCCCCCCCACCAAAATAAATTAACTCTGTAAGTATATGCCTATTATAAGAGTTTGAACGTTAAGGAGAATCAGTGATAGTTTACTTTCTGCTACTTGAATACAAAATAGATTTTGAATGCAAATGAGATGGAGTATTGTTATTATTTTATCTATTTGAATTAGAATGTATTGCGTGCTATAGGCCTATAATTTGTACAAGGTTCAAGTTACGTTTGCTCTCTGACATTTGAATGCAAATTAGATGGTAGGGCAAAATCGGTAGGCGTACAGTACGACCATATAATGCATATCAGTTGTATCATGTATACAATTACATTATTTTCATGCTTTCATAAGTGATGACAATTCAGTCAACGGTCATTCATTCCATTAAGCACTTCTACATAATATGGTAGGTAAGAGCTTTAAGAGAAGAATGTTTCGCCGTGGTTCTACATAGGAACTTAAAAAAAACAGGTCAGTCATTATTGCTATTTTTATTGATTTGTTTCGATAGTATTGAAGATAATATATCTTTAATGATTTTAGGCATGAACATTGTTTTAAAGTTTGTCTTCGAGAAAATTAAAATCACTTTAGGTTTCTCATCAGGTTTTTAGAAAAGATCTATGGGCTGTATGTTTGCACCAGTGACTTGACAAAAGAACATAATTATTTATGTGTTTGAAAACAAATATGGCAAATGTTACAGACGGTGATTCAGTTGGATTGATAGTAGCCCGTTGTTTGATTTGCAGTGTGGGTATCATAGCGAATGCACTTGTCATTGTCGTTATGATCTACAATAAAATCTTCAGGAAATCGATCACAAATACGTTATTACTTCATCAATCTATATTGGACTTTTTGGGTTGCTGCCTGTTTCTTGCTTTTTACAATAACGACGCTCCTTCAGGTGATGGAGCCAAGATATTCTGCAAAGCTAGAGTGATGTTTTGGTACATATCTGCAGCGTCTACTTATAACCTGGTGATGCTAACTATCGAACGATACCTAGCAGTTGCGCATCCGTTAATGTATCGAAAGAGACAAATTTACAGGAAAAGACTAATTCCATTGTCGATACCCCATTTGTGTGGTTTTCTCTCATCACTTCAGTTGGGGATATTTGCTGACGAGGATAAGGAATATCCTGGTGAATGCATGTACGATTATCATGGGGACAGTGCAAGAGTATTTTCCGGGATTCTACTTTTCACGACGTATTGGCTAATTCCAGTCTGTATTATGGGATATTGTTACATCTGTATATTACTCGGTTTACGCAGAAGGAAAAATGTTGGCCTACGCAGGGATTCAAGCAATACCGACAGTAAGCCAACTCGTTTGAATAAACAAGAAAGAAACCTTCTATATACACTTGTTGTTGTTTGTATTGCTTTCCTAATAACCGTTACGCCTAATTTTGTTTTGTACTTAATCTACGCCATATGTAACTGCTTTGCCTTCAGTAAAGTTAGTATTCACGAAGTAACAGTCCTCATGAATACATCAAACCTTTGTATCAATCCGTTTATTTATTGTTTCAATTTTAAAGAGTTTCAAAGAGAAGTAGTAAAAATAAAAAACAATGTGTTTCAGAAAAATCACATCTTTACGACGAAAGAGTGAAAGATTATAGCCTTGAAGTACCAGCAAATGAGAAACGTAATGACGAAAATCATAAGTAAAATGCGCGTGACGTTCAATATTATATACATTATATACGCACGTCAGGAATGTTTTTTTTTGTGCATATACAGGTCTCCCTACAATTAGAGTCCACTTTTGGGACCGGGATTTTAGTGGTCTTTAGAGCTTTGGTCTAATTAGAATCTCTCTAATTAAAAACCGGCACTAAATGTAGTCTTAAATATCACTATTTAGAAGGGAAATTAAGATATGCTATAATAAATATAAGTTTGTTTTACTCCAAGTGTTTCAGAATGTATTACAGTTATGCTCTTAATAAACCATTTATTGGTAGGCAAACATCAAGTCCTGCGCTCATTCTACCAAAATCTCTATTACAATAATAACAACACGGTCCTACTAGAGCTATCAGTAGGTATATTAAAAAGAGCATTGTACATATACACAAAACATCATTTTATGCTGTGTACCGTATTATTTTAATGTATACAGTCATATCATCATTTTTTATTATTTTTTAAATATTGCATATAAGTCACTATTGTAATGTAGGCCTATTCTTTATTTGAAAGAAAAATTTCAGTTGGGTCTGCCAAAACCATTATATGATACATTATGTTTGGATGGTTTATTACAAGTATTTTAGAATGGATTACTGTATGCTGTTACTGATTCCTAATAAACACTTTATTGGTAGCCACACATCAAGTCCTGTGCTCCTACTCAAATATTCATTACAAAAATACAATTATCAACGTCCTACTAACATAATTTGTATTCAATATGAAGCACTACACAAAACATAGGTTTTTTTTGGCGTGTAGGCCTACTTCTTTTTAAACCACCTTTCCATTAAAATGTTCTAACATCACCAATGCCATTATCGTAATTCAATAACACACACCAAACATCATCTTTTGATGTGCATTGGCTAATATTTTATGTTTAAGTCATGCAACAACATTTATTATAGGAAAAAAAAACATTACCGTCACTCTCTATATTACAGCGGCCTTTAATTGAGGGAAAATTATCGATTGCACCCACCAAAACCATGATAGAACTTTGAACATCTAATGCTAAGAGACAGGAATTCAACAGGGGCCGCCGCAGAAAAGTGGTCCAATTTAATTGTAGATGGTTTTTAATTGGAGAAATCTTTACTTAGAGGGAGACCTGTATTATATAATTAAATTTAATTAAAAATAACCTAATAGGTATGCATGCATCTCTGTCTTAGATATCTTTTGGACGATCCCACCTAAATCTATAGTTCTTGTACATAGGCCTATATTTAAGTCAAATCCTATGTTTTATTTAATGTTAAAGTTCTTGAACGGTAAATACGGATACTCCAGTGTAAATACAAACTAACATTCAAGTCAGAATTAATTGAATAACTCTAATTTTTTTTCTCTCTCTATTTTTCTGCCTTTATTTAATGTTAAAAAACACTTTAATATTGTAATGTACTTTTTTTTGCTTTGAAATATTTGTTTGTATGACATCTTTTGAAGATGAATTTTTAAAAAAGGTTATAATAAATATTATGCCGCTCATATTATATTTATATTGTATTTTATTGCGCCCCTGTATTGGTGTCGCTATGTACAGTTGGTTTCTTAAATAGATAAAAATATAAATAAATAGATAGATAGATAGGTAGATAGACAAATTAAATAAATAATAGTAACCATAATAATAATTGTTATTATTTACATGTAATTTAAGATAGAAACTACTGTAAATGTCTTGTTTTGAAAATACAAAAAATAGGCATATGTATGCATAAAACATTAAAAATGGCAACTATTAAAATACGATGGAAAAAGTAAGTATATGGGTACAAGCATTAGTACTAAAGAAAGTGATTTGAAAGATATTAAAATCCTTGAAATAATAAACTTGAAATACTTCGATTTGACAAAGAACCATTAAGAGTAAATGGCCTTGTCACTCTTTGGAGGACAAGGAAATCCTGGTGAATGTATATAACTCCCATGGGGACAGTGCAAGAGTATTTCCGGTAAGTTCACTTTTAACGACTTACATTGGCTAATTCCAATTTGAAATATTGTTATATCTGTAGGCCTATATTATTACTGTGTTGAACAATAAGTATACGCCATATATTTTGTCATGTCACACGTAACAATACAATAAATAATATCTGAAGGATAAAAATTAGCCTATATCAAATTCTACAGTAGAAAGCGATTTAAAAAAATCTGATCCATTATATAAAAATACATTGTAGGCCTATGTAATAATTTTAAACGCGTTATGGCATCTCTTTTTTTCACTCTTATTTTGATGAAATATATTTCTAAATCTGCTGATTAGCGTTTGCTACTAAATGTATAGGATACAAATTTATGTGATAGAAGCCTCTTTGACATGATATGTCAATAGGCCTACCTCTGTATAACAATTATATAAAAGTTTAATGAAGCCGTGTTAGTCTAAACAATATACACAGATTATAAAAGGCAGCACTCTGAGACTAACTTTGATGTAATTTATTCAACACAAGCTTTCGCTGGCAGTCAATGCCAGCTTCATCAGGTGTGTGAAGTAAAAAATTGAAAACAAAATAGAAAAGAGTTAGTCTCAGAGTGCTGCCTTTTATAATCTGTAACAATTATATAAAATTAGAATACAAATAAAGGTTATTGTAGTACTGTATCAATATCGTTATCCAAGTGTTGCTGTTTATTATTTCAAAAGTTTTCAAAAATATATATGTGTAAATATACATAAAGTGTTTTCTCTCCTTCATCCATAATATTTTGATCAAATTATTTCTAAAAATGCGTGTTAGTGTATCAAAGATGTGTGCATATGGTTACGGTATGAGACTGACATATGATACCATAATAACATTGAGCACATTGTGCATGTGAATTATATATATTGTGTAATATTTCTTTGTAATTATACAATTTGCTTGTTTGGTTCTGTGTTTGTGTTCCACAAAATATCAATTTCATAAGATGAAAGTAACATGCAACGATAACAAGTGGAATCGCTTCGACCGTCGACGACGGCTGTGGCCTTACAGGTATGCCCAACTTGACGATTGCAGTGAAAAAATGGGTTCCCAGCAGGGAGCGTGTGTCTAATACTGTTTTAAATTTTTTTTTTTTTTTTTTTTTTCACATTTCTTATCCAGCTTTCTGTGTTGTCAATTCAGTTGATAACTTATTGTCAACTCATCTAGTATGGCATCATTATTCGTAGACTTGCTTTTCATATTTACCTTTAGCTCATGACTCATCCCATCATTCCTGCATAACGGATTTACACTTATATCATAGCATAGTGTCTACTTGCCACAAGGGGCAGTAGACACAAAAACGATAATGTCTCAGATTAGTAAAACTCGAACAATAAAATTCTGGTGATAGCGCCACAATCGTCTGCGAATGGAGATGGTGATAGGCGTACTAACATCGAAGGATACACTGACAAAGGGAAGTGTCATATTAATGTAATAAGTATAATGTGAAATTATTTGCGCTGTTGTATATATTTGTACCTGTATAATGTACATACGTACAATATATACCTTTACA